CAATATAGTATATTTTTCTCAAAGTGGAAGCATTTTGTTTACTATATCTTTGATAATCTTATCAATTTTTGTATTGGTGCAGTTTAAATTTCAATTAGTTTTTAATTACATGTAATAAGTTTTAGCAATTTCACTTAAGGCATAGTGCTTTTTATTTATATCATTAACTTTGTTTATATATTTCATAGTTATTATATGCCTTATAATATGAGCATCCTTACTATCTTTATTTACTGCCACATCATTGCAAACAAAAGTGTGGATACACATGAATAAATTCTAGGAACTTTTTTCAAATTGTACTGCCGTACTTAAATACTGTCTGCCCAATATAGATTTTTCAGAGTTGCTCTTGTGTTATCCCAAGGATGACAAGACAAGGCAAGTTCACATAAGGATTTCAAATTGTGATTGTTTTAAAAATTGTCTTAAAACCATCACCTTCTTTTTTCATTCAAAGTGATTAGCACTGATGAAATTGGTAATTCCTTCAACCTTTCAACAGGATGTCTATGTGCCATAAAGTTTTATTCCAGTTGATAAATTTGGCACTAAATCTGAGCAAAAGCCATATCTGCATGCATATATAGATATATAGATATATACATACACTGTATTTTCCCCAAAATAAGACCGTTATTTTTTTTTTTTGAACCTTGAAATAAGCGCTTGGCCTTATTGCCATGCACTCAAAAGCCCGATTGGGCTTATTATCAGGGGATGTCTTATTTTGGGGGAAACGGTGTGTGTGTGTGTGTGTACACCAAATTTATATTTCACTGATAAAGAAATAAAGGGAGACTAGGATAGATCTATTTCAAGCTATTTAGCTCTCACGAGTTCTCCCTTCATCAGCTTGAGCTGGGGAGAGATTAAGTGTTTTTCTATCAAGACACCTGGTCTACCCCAGCATGTGGGAGGGAGCATACTGCATCCCTTTGCCTTTCAGCTCCAATCCAGGAGCCCTCAAGCAGTTAAGAAAAACACTTAATCTCTCCCCTGGCTCAAACTGATGAAGGGAGCAGAACTTGTGGCTCAGAGGTTAATACAACTGCCTAACATGCAGGCAGCTCAAGTTTGAATCCAAGTAAGGGTATAGCTAGCTGATAAGAGCTAAATAGCTTGCAATAGATCTATACTAGTCTCCCTTTATTTATCAGCGAAATATAAATTTGGTATAAAATGGTTTGTCATGAATGCGACTGCTTGAGGGCTCCTGGGTTGGAGCTGAAAGGCAAAAGGGATACAGTATGCTCCCTCCCACATGCTGGGGTAGACCAGGTGTCTCGATAGAAAAACATATATAGATATGCATATAGAACCATATGTATATGCATGTATATCCATATGCAACGATATCTATCTGCATGTATATCCATCTCCATATAGACGGGAAGTTGAACAACTAGCCTTGTGATGCAACCAGAACAATCTTAAACTAAATATACTCAAAACTGTAGAAATGGTGGTAGATTTTAGGAGAAACCCTCCTATACTACCACCTCTTACAATACTAGACAACACGGTATCAACAGTAGAGTCCTTCAAGTTTCTAGGTTCTATCATATCTCAAGTCATAAAATGGACACCTAACATCAAAAACATCATCAAAAAAGCACAACAATGATTTATTTCTCTGCCAACTCAGAAAGCTCAAACTGCTCAAAGGGTTGCTGATTCAGTTCTACAGAGGAATTATTGAGTCTGTCATCTGCATTTCTATAACTTTGGTTTGGTTCTGCAACCAAACAAGACAGACACAGACTTCAACAGATAATTAGAACTGCAGAAAAAACAATTGCTACCAACCTGCCTTCCATTGAGGACCTGTGTATTGCAGGAAGTCAAAAAGAGGGCTGTGAAAATATTTACAGACCCCTCACATCCTGGACATAAATTGTTTCAACTTCTACCCTCAAAACAACGCTATAGGGCTCCGCACACCAGAACAACAAGACACAAGGACAGTTTTTTCCCGAATGCCATCACTCTGCTAAACAACTAATTCCCACAACACTGTCAAATTAACTACTAAGACTGTATTACTATTCTTCTCATCCTTACTAGTACCTATCTCTTCCCACTTATGGTTATATGCATGTTGCTTGTATTTTTACAACTTATATTGTTTTTATTATTTCCTAGTATGATTTGATTGCTTATTAGTATTCTATGACTATCACTAAGTGTTGTATCTTATGTTTCTTGACAAATATATTTTATTTTTTCTTTATGTACACTGAGAGCATATGCACCAAAGACAAATTCCTTGTGTGTCCAATCACACTTGGCCAATAAAAGAATTCTATAAAAGAATTTTATATAGAAGCATGACGTCTCTTCTAACACTTAGCATGTTAGGAAGGCTTTCTATCTTTTACATCTAAGTTTAAAATGGTCCAGTATTGGAATTTTGTGAGTGAATAATTCAAAGTGATCAGAAAGGTTTTCTCATATTGTGGGATTCATTACTTATTTATATGCAAAGTTTCTTAAATTTATTAATTTTAATGTAGTTTGAACCAGCATTTGATTCAAGATTGAGTGTGTACTTCGGTCCAGAGTCTTCCCCATTGCCATCTCTGTGACTTTATTAGCCTCTACATATTCCTTCTTGATGCTTGAAGTGGGCTCAGGCAATAGAAAACAATCCAAAGGATAGATTCTCATAACTTGCAAAGCCGCAGCAGTGCATTTTGGTTTTGGTTTAGCATAGTGTAAATACCCAGTCACTGTTGTTTAAAGTGATTTAGAATGTTTGGGAATCCAGCCTATAGTGATTTATTCAGTAAATTATGGCTAAACAAATCCTGGCTTGGTATGTGATTTTGAATTGTCTCCAGATTTGTACAATCCAAATATCCAGTTTTGCCTGCATTTGCACTGACAGATTACTGCTGAAATTTATGGTGTAGCCAATTTAGTTCTGAATTGTCCATACTTGATTAAAGTTGTTTCGTAGTGTTTTTCACTAGAATCATCTGTCATAGTTTGCAAGTGCTTCTGAGTGATAAACATGGTGAATTATGCCAGAACAGAAAATAATACTTTCATCTCCTTAAATTAAAGTATAGCAAAATCCTAAATATATTTATTTTGATAAATGGAATGATGTATAGCCACCTTGGCTAGCTGATTTCTGAACCAAAGATGACTCTTGGACACAATCATATACAGTGATTCAGAAAGCGTTCAGACCTTCCAGCTGATGTTGCAGCGAGATTGGATGCAAGGAGCGGGTCTCCGTGCTCCCGTGCCAAGTTTTCCCCATTGGAGGGCTCCAAAAGGAGCTAAAGCCACCCTGGAGGGATGGTGAAGAAAAGAGGGGCACCCTGTAGGTCGTGGAGAATTGCATCTCTCCTGCTTGACCCAGGGCTCTTTTCCCTCTCATCCACGATGAGAAGAAGCAGCCATTATGGCTGCCATAAAGCTGGGACAGCCGAGGCAACAAAGAAAGTGCAGGAGCGGTATAGATGAACAGTGATTGGAACTGGGTGAGATAATAAGGGGAAAAAAATTCAGGAAAAGAGACTCTTAGAACTATTTGTTAAAGCAGCGAATAACTACTTAGAAAAATCCCAGACCCGAAAGAAAGGAACTAAGGGGAGAAAAGTAAAAAACTTTTAAAACATAGAAAATTGAACTTTTAAGTAGGCGTTGTTTTTGGAAAGGCGTTTTAAAGTGCTGGAATTATTTACTTAATAACTGACTTTGCTTCCATAAATTGAATTAAAGTTGGATTAAATACTTATGAGATCTGAGACAACACTGAATTCTAAGCTGAGGGCCCCACCTACTAATGAATGGAAAATATACCTTACCCCTACATGTCTGGGAAAATTTTTGATAAGAGAAATAAACAACATTTATCTGGAGGACTGCGGTGATACCTACTGTTCTATATTTATCTACTTTATGACTACTGGAGGTTCAACTGTGAGAACAAGGAAGATACATAAGTAAAGTGACTTTTGAAGGTTAAGATATATGACTAAACCTATAGAGTGGATGTAAGGAGATAGTTGGAAAGCTTCCTGGACTATCTAAATGGAATTGATTGAATAATCCTGGGATATAAAGAACTATGCTTATTGTACTCTGAGGAGCAATGTTAGGCCTGAATATATGTTTTTTGGACTATTGAGCAAGAGTGAGACTTACTAAAATAAGATGAAATGCTCCAGGGGAAAATGAGTGGATTTTAAAAATAAATTGTGTTGATGTTCCAAAGTATCAATGACACCGTGATAAAAAACTACAGGGAGATAAAGAACCTAATGCAAGAGAGGAATATGGGAGTCAAGCCAAAAAATGAATAAGAATTGAAGTATTAAAACGGGCAAGAGATGATGGATAGAAAGGAAATGCCTTTTAATATAATGGTGGCTTGATTAAAAGCTAGAATAGAAGTAGAAATAAGACTACACATTTTTATATAATAGAATAAAAGCAATAGCTAGATGGAAAGCTTAGAGGTTGAAAGATGGTATTATTATGTATGTTTAAATAATGTGACTGGCATTAGAATGGCATATTGAAACATTGAACAACTAAACAATGAAGGACTATATTTCAATACAAACATGTATCAATACTAGGACTAGTAATGGTGACCTGACTAGAAGCTTGAATAAAGGTAGAAATAAGAAATAGGGGGGAATATTAGTATACACATTTTTATATAATAGAATAAAAGCAATAACCAGATGGAAAGATTAGGGGTTGAAAGATGGTATTACTATGTATGCTCAAATAATATTGTGATTGGCATTAGAATAGCACATTGAAATTCTGAATAAATAATGAAGGATTATATTTTAATACAAACATGTAAACACTAAGATTACAAAAGTTTGATTAATGTAATAAATATTATTAATGTTGTTATTATTTGTATTAAAATGAATGATACCCAGATGCCACATTGTTCATGTATTGATGTTGATGAATATTTAAAAATAAATAGAAAATATACAAAAAAAGAGAGAAAGCATTCTTACCCTCTTCACTTTTGTCAATTTTGTTATGCTGCAGCCTGATTCCACAGTTATTGAAATTCATTTTTCTCATTAATGTACATTCAGTACCCTATAATGACAAAGTGAAAACAGAATTTTAGAAATGTCTGTAAATTTATTAAAAAGAAAAAAGTGAAATATCATATTGGCATAAGTATTCAGACCCTTTGCAACAACACTTTAAATTTAGCTCTGGTGCCTCCCATTTCTTTTGATCGTTGCTGACATGTTTCTATACCTTCATTGAAGTTGACCTATGGTAAAAAAAATAATTAAATTTAACTTTTTTATTAGTTTATTGAAGTACAAAATACAAAGGAAAAAAAATGGAAAAGTAAAAAGAGAGGGAGGGAAAAAGAGGGGGTATAGTTAACAGGAGGGGGAAAAAACACCAATTTCTAACTCTCTTTAGCACAGTAGAAAGTAACAACATTACAACTACATTTTTTGCTTTTACACAATAGTATGTACAAGCCTTTTCTATAACAAGCCTGTCCATTTTACAAAAACAGAATCAGTTTCATTGTTTTTTCTCATTGCAAACAAAATCAGGAAGTAATTTCAAAATGGAGACAAAATTAAATATAATCTCTTATTTGAATAAAAGTGTCATTTTAACCATCTCTGCTTCTCCTTGCTGTGGGGAATAATATATCATTCATTCTCATATTTTCAAATCTAGTCCATAATATGTTACCAACTTTAGAGTATTATTCAGCATTATTTAAAGAACTGGCAGACCTGCGTATACATACATATTCATTTTTACATACAAAACTAAGTTAAAGCTTCCTATCAGTACATATATCAATTTTTTTTAAAAAATCCATCCTAATTAATTAAAACATATTTAAGTCTTATTACCAGCTTATCTTCATAGAATGATGTCTTTTTCTTCTCGGGAGAGTATCAAGTCTCCTTTCCTGAAGAAGTTCTCAACTTTATTTATATCCATTAAAAAAAAAGTCTTGACCTCTTAAAAATTGTGAATTTACTAGATACAGTTGTTTCAGTTGCACTGGGAGCATTGTACTCGCACCATCATCATAAGAACTGAAGTTAGATTTCTATTCTGAAGTTACATTTAGCTTATTTGCATTATCAGGTATTTGTGAAGTTGGCACAGCAGGTTAATAATTTTCTACATCTAGTTGTGTCTCTTGTTCTATTTTAATATCTGTAGGATTAATATATTTTGGCTGATTCACGAAATGACGAATCTTCTCCAATGACTCTTTAATAACCGATACCAGCTCAGAATTAAGCAACCTCGTAGCTTCCTCTAGTGGTCAGAGACTGTTGTGTATTTAATTATTTTCCTCTTTTTCCAGCCAATCCGAGTCCTTAAAAATTGGCAGATTTCAACCACCCAGAACAAAACAATACAGAGCAACTAATTATTTTAAAAGTAGTAGATTAAAGCCACAACTTTTATACTTATATTTCAAACAAAAGAATAGTCCATGCTTCCTTATTTTGGGTGCCTCTAGCAATCCTTTCCCTGTTGTTTTATAGTAAAGAAGACGACTCAAAAATGGCGTTCAAAGCTTCAGAACGGAGTGGTAAACTGTAACTAAAGAGAGCCTCTTTAGCTTGCAAAGGTAATAGTCTCATAAATTGTTTAAGAAATGAAGGACTTATTGTCCATTTGAAAAATAAATTCAAGAATGGTGTTTTATCCAGCAATGATGTGGTTTTGACTCCGCCTGCCAGCTTCAGCTCACCAGTTATCTTGGAAGCTCAGCTTCTAAAACTGCTTGTAGGCTGTTGTGTTATAGAAGGATCTTGCGTGATGATTCTGGCACTTTCCTAATCTTTGAAAGTCAAGCAGATAGGAAGCCTGCTCCTTTTGTTGTTGAGTTGGAAAAACGACAGTCCAGAGACAAAAGATTCTCTGGGTGTTGTCAGCTGCTGGCCATGTCTTCACCAGAAGTCCTCAGGAGTTGACCTATGGTAAATTAAATGGATTGGACATGATTTGGAAAGGCACATACTTCTCTGTAGAAGGCCTCACAACTGACAATGCATACTGTAGCAGAACAAAAGCCATGAGGTCAAAGGAACTGCCTGCAGAACTCAAGAGACAGGATTATTGCAAGGCACAGATCTGGGAAGGCCTCAATAAAATTTCTGTTGCACTGAAGGTTCCTAAGAGCACAGTGGCCTCCGCAATTCTCAATGGAAGAGTTTTGACACAGAACTCTTCCAAGAACTGATCACCTGGTCAAACTGAGCAATTAGGGGAGAAGGGCCTTTGTAGGAGAGGTGACCAAGGACCCGATGGTCACTTGACTGAGTTCCAGAGATCCTGTAAGGAGATGGGACAGTTCCAGATGGACAACCATCGCTGCAGCCCTCCACCAATTTGGGCTTTATGGCAGAGTGGCTAGACGTAAGCTACTCAGTGCAAAACACATGAAAATACTGAAGGACTGTCAGACTGTGAGGAACAAGATTCTCTGGCCTGATGAAACCAAGATTGAACTATTTAGTCACAATTCTAAATGTTATATCCGGAGGAAACCAGGCACCATTCATCACCTGTCCAATATCATCTCAACAGTGAAGCATGGTGGTGCCAGCATCATGCTGTGGGGGTGTTTTTCAGCAGCAGGGATTGGGAGACTGGTCAGGGTTGAAGGAAAGCTGAATGGAGCAAAGTACACGGATATCCTCAATGAAAACCTGTTCCACAATGCTCAAGACCTCAGACTGGGCCAAAGGTTCACTTTCCAACATGATAATGATCCTAAGCACACAGCCAAGACAACACAGGAGCGGTTTAGGGACAACTCCGTGAATGTCCTAGAGTGGTGTAGCCAGAGCCCTGACTTGATCCCTATTGAACATCTCTGGAGGGACCCGAAAATGGCTCTCCACTGATGGTCGCCATCCAATCTGACTGATCTTGAGAGGATTTGCAAGGTAGAATGGCAGGAAATCCCCCAATCCAGGTGTGCAAAGCTTGATGCGTGATACCCAGTGGTGGGTTGCTACCGGTTTGCCTCGGATCGGGCAAACTGGTAGCAGCAACGGGAGGCTCTACCCACCTGCCCGGACGCTTCTGCACATGTGCAGAAGCTTCTGCATGAGCGCACCCATGAACGAACCGATAGCGACAGGTTTTGAAACCCGCCCCTGGTCATACCCCAAAAGACTTGAGGCTATAATTGCTGCAAAAGGCGTTCAACAAAGTACTGAATGTACTGTATGTTTGGTTTGGGCAGGGATTCTGATCATGTGTTTTGGGAACAAGTATTTTGGAGTGCGGAGACCATGAAAACAAGGCCATTCACAGGGGCACACAGATACTGAAAAGCTTGGGAAAAGGTTAGATATGCTGCATTTAAATTCAAGGGCAGAGTTGCCCTACTCCCATACTACAACCTCCCAATTTGTCTCATACCACTTCTGCTAATCTACCCAGACTATCTCAATTTCCCCTCACCTCCCATTATAGATTATAGATACACCTTGAGTAAGGTGACCAGACGTCCCGCTTTTGGCGGGACAGTCCCGCTTTTGAGCAATTTGTCCCGCGTCCCGCGGCGTTTTAAAAAAGTCCCGATTTTTCATTCTGCCTCCTGGTTCCCGGCTGCCTCCTGAATCCCCGCTGATGGCTAGAGGGAAAAAACCTGTTTAAACTCTTGCCGCGGGGCTTCAAAGGGCCGCCCTACGTTAATTAGCTCGGCTTCCCCCTCTCAGCTGATTTGCACAGGGCTCTGCTCTTGCTAAATTGCTCAGTTTTTTTTCCCTCTTTGTGCAAACCAAGCTCAAAACGAAACTGGAAGTAAAACAGGCTGTTGGCTTTGCGGTTTGCTTGCAACGTTGGAAAATTAGGCAGCAGATTTATTTTCCTTTTCCTCACCAAAAAAGGTAAGTACAAACAATGGAAAATTATTTAGGGCAAAAGAGGAGAGTTCAAGATTTTAAAACACAAAAGAAAAAAAAGCTCTTTTTAACTAGGGAATTGTAATAATTGAGATATTATTAATTGTATACTGTGTTGAAAGCAGAAATGGTTAAGTTGTGGTTTGGAGGAATATATGGGGGAAATTATTTGGTTTATTATTATTGGTAAGTATAATTAATTGATTTGTAAGAAATTGGATTGCATGGAAATAATTGGAATATTCATGTTCATATTGATTAATATACAAAAAAGATAGTTATATAACTAATTGATTTATATTAAAATGTTGAATTTGTATTAAACAACTGTATTACATAATTACATAATTAACCAATGTGAGGATGGATATAAAAATAGATGACAATGGGAAGGGGTATAAAATAGAATAGAAGGGAAAAATTGAATTTGATTAAGATTAGAGATGAGGATGAAGGGTAATATTGTTTTTTTTAAAAAATAGATGAGGAATAAATATGGCAAAAAGGAAATATAGAAATTGTAAATTTAATTGAAATGACTAAACACTGTTTAAATTTGTGAACCAGCCAAATATTCTGTTCAAAGAAAATACATTGTATGTATATGTGTTTCTAATTATTGCTATTTATTCATATTTGTTCTCTTTTATTCTTTAAAGTTTAACAATTCATTCTTTATCTTAATATCTTTATATTTGTTTGGGGTTGGCTTTCTTCCCTTTCATCTTTTTTATTGTACAGCAATCTTTCTCCTCAAACCTACCACCTCTCTTTTCTTTCCTTCTTACTTTCTCTTCCCCACCTCTTCTTCTTTCCTCCCTCTCTTAACCGTCACTCCTACTCTAATTTCCCTTCCCTTCCTTCATCCCTCTCAATTACTGTATCCTTTTATGCATATGGACTACTCAGAGGGCTGAAAAAAGTTATTTTTGACTGGTCCTCGCACTTTTGACCAGTCCTCGAACTTACGACTGTCCTCACATTTTACATTTTTGCCCTATCTTGTCATCATGGTGAAGAGAAGCAGTTGTGAAATGAGTGACATGGTTGTTAAGAATGCTGCATGGGCATAAATATGAGGATGGTCATAAGTGTGAGGACCAGTCAAAAGTGCTAGGACCTGTCAGAAATGACTTTTTTCAGCCCTCTGGTTAGTCCTTTTGTGCATATGGACTACTCAGAGGGCTGAAAAAGTTATTTTTGACTGGTCCTCGCACTTTTGACCAGTCCTCGAACTTACGACTGTCCTCACATTTTACATTTTTGCCCTATCTTGTCATCATGGTGAAGAGAAGCAGTTGTGAAATGAGTGACATGGTTGTTAAGAATGCTGCACGGGCATAAATGTGAGGATGGTCATAAGTGTGAGGACCAGTCAAAAGTGTGAGGACCTGTCAGAAATGACTTTCCAGCCCTCTGAGTAGTCCCTATACACATAGCCATGGCCACCCGGTCACATGACCAGCTAGCCACGCCCACCCAGTCACATGGCCTCCAAGCCACGCCCACACAATAAGCCATGCCCACAATGGTGTCCCTCTTACCAATGTTAAAATCTGTTCACCTTACCCTATACACATAGCCATGGCCACCCGGTCACATGACCAGCTAGCCACGCCCACCCAGTCACATGACCAGCTAGCCACACCCACAAAATAAGCCACGCCCACAAAATAAGCCACGCCCACAATGTCCCTCTTTACCAATGTTAAAATCTGGTCACCTTAACCTTGAGTCTAAGGTGGGTCGATGAGCCTTTAATCTTTAAAATATATACAGTATGCATTAATAGAGATTATTGTATTATTTGAAGCATATTGCATTTTTCTTACAGAGAAAATGAGTATTCATTCACTTGAACCCTAATTTACTTTTAATATCTGTTCTACTATTAATGGTTTATCAACAACAAGCTAACTAGATAAGAACTTCATATTTCTTCTCATAGTTCATGTTTGTTTCTGATATAGTAGTTCTAACTCAGATTAGAGTGTTGAGTATCAGTGATTGATCAAGCTCCCAGTTCACATCAGGAAGTATTCAGCTGTTCATGCATTCCTCAGACAATACTTAGGTCAGGGGCCATATATTTCCCCTGAGATCATTTGAAAAAGCAAAGATTAAAAAGAAATTTATCTTCATTGTAATCTACTCATGCGCCTCCAATATGCCTTGCCCTTGTATCCCACTAGTCCAAAGCTCAGCTATTTTTTTTTCTTTTGTACCCTTGTAATTTACCTTTTTGTTGCTCCAGTAACAAGAAGTATAGAGAAAAATCATATCTCTGAATGTAAAAT